GAAAAAATTTTTAAATCGAAAAATTTAAGGTAATATATAATATAATCGTCTTCTTTATGTCAAGATGAATCGATTGATATATGGGGCATTTCATTTGAAAACGATCAGTCATGACTTAGATTTTTTTAATATTTCGTTTTTTTGTATTGTTTGGGGACTTAAATAAGTGTGCAAAATTTTAATTAAAAATCTTAAGTTTTTTTCAAGTTATTTACATTAACAAATTTAAGATACTTTTTTTCCTTTTCGCTATAACTTTTTCATTTTTCTTTGTACAGAAAAGTGTTTTAAATGTTTTTTCTTCAAAAATTGTTGAATTTTAAGAAAATGATTTTTATTTTTAATATTTTATAATTCTTATATTATTTATTTAAAAAAAATTTTTTTTTATTAATGTTTAAACCTGTTATCGGGCTAATTTCGATCTAAAAAAAATCATGAATATTCTTCAATATTATACAAATTACATATTAAAATTTGGTGAATGCATTATGTTTAGTTCTCTAGAAAATTTTTTTTTGAAATTTACCGTGCATGGCTCTATCGGCGCGCAGCATGGGATCTAACCCAAGCGTTGACCGATGCGACCGCTAGAGCCATGCACGGTAAATTTCAAAAAAAAATTTCTCGAGAACAAAACATAATGCATTCACCAAATTTTAATATGTAATTTGTATAATATTGAAGAATATTCATGATTTTTTTTAGATCGAAATTAGCCCGATAACAGGTTTAAACATTAATAAAAAAATTTTTTTTTAAATAAATAATATAAAAATTATAAAATATTAAAAATAAAAATCATTTTCTTAAAATTCAATAATTTTTGGAGAAAAAACATTTAAAACACTTTTCTGTACAAAGAAAAATGAAAAAGTTATAGCGAAAAGGAAAAAAAGTATCTTAAATTTGTTAATGTAAATAACTTGAAAAAAACTTAAGATTTTTAATTAAAATTTTGCACACTTATTTAAGTCCCCAAACAATACAAAAAAACGAAATATTAAAAAAATCTAAGTCATGACTGATCGTTTTCAAATGAAATGCCCCATATATAAAGTATAGATTTGATTGAAATTTAAAGAATTAAAGAAAGTTAAAAAATTCTAATTTTAGCTAAAAAATGATGTGTTTATTTAAATTCATGTTTATATATGAAATAATTTTATTCCCTGCATTGAAACGAATTGGTTGGTATATATAAAGTATAGATTATATTTAAAATTTGAGAATTAATAAAAATTGAAAAATCAAAAATTCATATTTTAGCTAAAAAATTTTGTGTTTTTTTTAAATACAAGTTGATGAATAAAATAATTGTATTCCTTGCATTAAAACGAATCGATTCGTATATATAAAGTTTATGTTACACTCAAAATTAATTAAAATTTTCTTTATTTTTCAAAAAATTTAATTAATTTAAAACATTTTTAACTCGAAATTTTTTAAATCAATCAATTGAATTGGACAAATTCATTGCTTCCTTCACGAGGAAGCGAATTTTTTGTTTCACACAATGAGGAAGCATAATGTTTATGAAATAAACATAAAGGACCCCCTCCTTGTTTGTTAAGCTGTGTAATATTAAGTATTATTGAAAATGTTTGTTTTGTTTGTCGTCCTTGTTTTCCGGCAAGGAGCGCGCGAATTTGTATAAGAAACCTTTTCCCTCTCTACCTCCTTCTACGATAAGAAAGAGGGGGATCTATGTCCCGCGTTCAGACAGTTCGCCGACCTTCTTCCTTGAAACAACATAAGTATATATAAAATAAAATTCAAATAATTAAAAACTACAAGTTTTGTTTCTATTGTTTTCTTTTTATTGTGTAAGTGAAATCCTAAGTATTGAAACATCAGACATAAAAATTGGTCCTTCGAGCCGGATTTTCAAGGCTTCTAGCAAATTTCCAACGTAGTGGCGCATTTTTTGCAATCGAGGCATTGTCGTGGGCTTGAATCATTCTAAACAAACGATGAGCTCTTTCTAAATTATACATATAATTCATTTAAATTCTTATCGACACGATGGGAAGCGAGGGTCTCAATCTTTTAAATAGAAAAAAGATCACAACTCAAGTTTAAATTTCTCATTTAAATAGTTTTTTAATTAAATATCGTGAAGAAGAACCAGACCCGGTCAAATTAGAATTACATTTGCGAAAATTAAAAAGTGTTTTTAAAAAATTTGATGAAATACAAGATGAAATTGAAATTTTAGATACCGAAACACCACATATTGATCTTGTTCTTGAGCGTTACGCGATTCCAGATCAATATCTCGAAATAGTTGTCCAGGACCAAAATCTCCTTATTTCAGCCCGTGAAAGTGATCAAAGACATATTAATTCGGATCGCGTATCAGAAGTTAATCAATCCCTCTCGAAAAATCAAACGAAACGTAAGGTAAAATTACCACAAGCCGCGCTTCCGACTTTCAATGGTCGATATGAAGAATGGCTAGCCTTCAAGGACTCCTTTAAATCTCTAATGCATAATAAAACCGATTTAGGGTAACGGCACCAGTGAAAGAACATTTAAGGAAATGCATACTTTTATCATTTATTATTTTTGAATGCAGTTATTGAAAATTTCTTTACCAATTTTTTTTCGATAGCTAATTAAGTGTAGAATGCGAAGGTCATATTTAATTTTCATAAATATAAGATGTTAATTAAAATTTTAATTAATAAGTAAAACATACCTATTTCACCAGTGAAAGAACAAATTGTCTAATGAAAGAATTTTCTGCATCCAGTGAAAGAACGATGTGAAATATATATTTAAAATATGGGCATATCTCTAGAACTTTTAAACTTTGAGATATTAGAAAAATTAATTTTTTTTCAGGGCACATTCGTGAAACAAATTTTATTGTCTTCAGTATTGATCAAATACTATAAAAAAATTTGCGTAACTCATTTTTACACATTGTTACGCATCACAGTGGGCCTTATTGCAAAAAACCTGCCCAAAATCTCTAGATGTGTTTAAAACTGACTGAAATTTGATACTCGCGGATTTTTTTGGTCGCTGATTACAAATGCGACGTTAGTTTTTCAAAATTCAAAATGGCGGATCCAATATGGCGGACGACTTTTAAAAAATTTTATCGAATTTGTCTGAAATTTGTTACTCGGGGGTTTTTTGGGTCGCTACCACCTTTAAAATGATTTAATGCTACAGTTTCGAAAATTTTATGGCCCATTGCCATAAATGTAGTTTATAATGTAGTTTATAACAATTTTTGAATTTTTTAAAATTTAATTTTTTAAAAATTTTTTAAAAAATTTTGTTTGCAATTTTGGATCTACCATTTTGAATTTTGAAAAATTAAGTTCAGATTCGTAATCAGCGACCCCATAAACCCCCGAGTAACAAATTTTAGGCCAATGGGATCAATTTTGTAAAAAGTCATCCGCCATATTGCATCCGCCATTTTGAATTTTGTAAAACTAAGTTCAGATTCGTAGTCAGCGACGCAAAAAACCCCCGAGTAACGAATTTCAGGCCAATTGCATCAATTTTTTTAAAAGTCATCCGCCATATTGGATTCGACATTTTGAATTTTGGAAAATTTAAAATTCAGATTAGTAGTCGCAGCGACCCCAAAAACCTTCGAGTGAGAAATATCAGCCAGATTTAAACACATCTATTAGTTAATACTTACATTTCTTCACAAACTATGCGTCGGACAGTTTAGGTTTATATTCATTATTAATTATACAGTTTTAATGAAGTGTGCAAAGGTTAACTATTTTTCTGTATACTTTTATAATGCATGAGAAGAGATTACAATGAGTTGGGAGCATTTAGAAGCAAAATTCAACATGTGCTTTTCAAATATGTGGTATTTTGATTTGAGTTACGTTTTAAAATTTAATGTTTGAAGTCATTGCATTCTTTGTGTAAAGGAGGCACACATTCCTGTATGGGTTCAAATTACTTCTTATTAGGTAGATAATATAATCCCGTTGTGCCGTTACTCAAAAACCTTCGTTAAAAAAGTTATATCAGTTTAACTGCTAACTTGTAGAAATTTTGAAAAAGTTGTCTCGCAAGTTTGAAGCTACATAGTTTTTATTCAATTTGAGGCACATCATTGTTTCATGGATTTTTTAGTTCTTTACACTCCCACCTACTTCTATTGCAAGCCACAAGACACACAATGTTTCGTTAAAAAAGTTACAGTCTATAAACTAAAAAAAACAGTCAATATCACACACTAGAAACTGTCGATTTCACCACTTTAACTTACGTTCGTCATTTCCTACATAATTAAAAAAATTATATAACGCATGATACATTTAAAAAGCCCTATAATTGGTCAAATTATGGTATTGAAGTTTTATTAAAAAAATTCTTAAGGTATCATAATGAGAGATAACATAAAGTTTAAAAGTTCTAGAGATATGCCCATATATTTAAAAAATATATTAATAATTATTATTTAAATATTAATTTTTAAGAATAATATTAGGACTTTTGAAAAATATTTTACCTTTAATGAAGTACTGCCAATCTAGTTGCAATTTATTTTGACAATATTATTGTAACCTAACAGTGTTAACCTATTTGATTTTGTCAGTAAGCTGCCTGGGTGCGTGTCTTTTACATTGAATCCCGTTTTTCGATATATTGCAAAAGTTTCCAATCAAAATAATAGTTTCCGTAGTAATAATAGTTCCTACTACAAGAATCTGCAGTTTTTAGAAAATCGATTATTTTGAAAGAAGATGTGGTACTAACCCCTGAAGAAAATAAAACTAAAATTTTTTATTATAACTTTAAGAAAATATAATATAATTTTTATAAGAATTATGTTAAATTATTATCTTCTTTTCATTCTAAATATATACTTTCCATTATATATGGAAGATTGGTAGACGATATTACTTCATATCAAATGCATTAGTACAAAACGTATTTTTATAACTACTTACACATTAAGATGCTTTCGGTTTGCAAGATGTAATTTACAAATATAAAAATTTTATTTTTACCTGCATATTAATATGTGCAAAATTAATGCAGCAAATAAAACAGCAACAAGAGTTATGACAGCAGTAATGAAGGCAAAATATTCATTCGATGATAGACAAATTTTTTCCAAAGCATTAATTTGTTGGTCAATTAAAATATTCTCTTTTTCTCCATCTAAATCATTTCTTGAAGCAAACACCTGTAAATCATTAAGAAAGCAGATTATCATTTCTCTTTGCTACATTATTAAATTAATTTACGTAATTTTTAAACAATTTATTATAATTTTTTCAATAAATTGTTAAATTTTCATTAAACTTTAATAGATTTATCTCTGATAAAAACACAACTAGATAATTAATTCAAATGAATGAATTATATCCTAATTTAATTAATATTTGGGTATGTTGGGATAATCTAAAACGATTCTACGAAAATCACTCCACGGAAATTCCATCCGGAATTCCGCAAAAATTCTATACGGAATTCCGCAAAATTTTGAAAGTATTCCTTTCGTAATTTTGCGAAGTTTTTTGAAAGAATTCCATACAGAATTGCACAAAATTCAGTCAACTAACTAACGGTAGTTGAATTTCTCGACTAATTTTTTTCAGTGTATCCACAAGCAGTTATTTTAAAATTACAAAAAATCAGTAAAAAATACACTCAATAAAAAAACTAGTAGATTTGACTACTTGTTAACTACCCTGCATAGTTCAATAGGTCCTTAACTGAATTTAAAAGTTGTACGGACTATTAAAAAGTAGTTAAAAGAACTAAGAATTTAGTTGGGTCAAGGAGATTTTGTAATTGTTCTAATTTTTGAAGTTGATTTAACTACTTTTATTAAGTACAATTAACTACTAATTCTTAACTCCATAAAAAATAGTTAAATTGACTACACGCACATAGTTAAAATAACCAAAAAAGTAGTTACTTTTACTACTTTCAAGTCAGTTAACTAAAGGTAGTTGAGGATTTCGGCTAAATTTTTTTCAGTGTACAGTTGTGAAATTCTAACAAAAATTTTGTGCAATTCCAAAAAAAATATTGTGCAATTCTGTATAGAGATTATGTGTGTAATTCTTATAAAAAATTCGCAAAATTACAAAAGAACTTCTTTCAAAAATTTTGCGGAATTCCGTATATAATTTTTACGGAATTCCGTAGAATCGTTTCACCTGGGTATAAAAGTGATACAAGACGCCGGGACTAGCCCGTCTGCGAACCGGTACCAATTTTGAAGGTCCACTACGAGATAGTGACCAAACTTTGAGTGGACGAAAAATAAAATTTAACACTTCACGACGGTGAAGTTTATCGGAAGGCGAGTTCGGGAAAAATTCGGGCAATTTAAGAAATCTTAAATTTTCAAATTTTTGTTTTCGAACCGGCCAGTCCGCACGCGTGGTGCCTGTGCCGCTCGAGCCCGTCGGACCCGTAAAAGTGCTTTTTCGCGCGCTACCTTGCCAAAAGTGCATAAAAATAAAAATTATATATACAAGAACTATTTTTTTGTGTGTTAGTTTTCGTTTTGCCCGATGAGGAGCGATAATAAAATTGTGCAACTCATCGGTAATTATAAGGAGTGTGGTGAGTAAGAAAACATAAATGTATCGTTCCGCTAATATTTTTACGCATGATAACCTTCTTCATTGTTTTCTTTATTTGTGTCTCACTCCTTATGAGTGAGATTACTTTATTAATAGTAACTTTTTAAAAATAATTTTTCTAATAAATAGTGTATTAAAAAAAAGTGTTGAATTTTATTGTTGTTTTGCCATTGGTCAAAATTCTAAATTTCAAATTTTTTTACACACACGTACAAGGCTTGGCAGATACGTCATTTAAATTGGATAAACGACCCCATACAAATTAAACAGGATTGATTAAGATTTTCTTTTCTTTTTTGCGCATTTACTTTTATCTTATGAAAATTCTGGCAACTTGGTGCCTCCTCTAACCTCAAAAAAATTGGATTTATCTCAAAGGATCACTATTTTAAATTAATTCGATTTTACCGTTTATTAATTTTTAATAACAATTTCTTGGGTTCGTAACACTGACCCTATTGTTTTATATTAAAAGTAGTGTACAGATTAATTTTTATTAATAATTAACATAATGTAAATAATGCTTTTAATTTAGCACCTTGGCGGATTTTATTTACCTAAGTTCGACCCAGCTGGGGCGAATCTAAGTCGAATTTAGGTAAGTATCAAAAAATAGCTTTTAATTGACAAAAAGTTTTAAAAATAAGTATTGTGAGGATAAATGAACATTTATAGAGTTAATTTTCTCAAAAATTTCAATTATTAAAGTGATAAGAACAATTCATTTTTTTAGTTTTTACAATATTTACTTCCATCCCCTTAATAAGAAATGGAGATTTTTTGCCAATAGAAATTAAGAATTAAACTCCTCCCTTTTACAGAAAGGAAGATTCCTATTCGTGTGGTCAAAAATAAAAAAAAAGAAATTTTTTATTTTGACACTATTTAGTCCCATCCCCTAAATAAAAAGTGTAGTTTTTTTGCTTTAAAAATTAATATTTGAACTCCTCCTCTTTACAAAAAGAAAAATGTCTGCTCGTGGTGTAAAAAATTTTAAATTGAGAAAATATTTAATTTTTTAAATCGACATTACTTGATTGTTGTGCCATATATCTGTGTGCACCTTTTTCAGAATTTCTGAAGAAATTTTTATAAATTGATTATCTTTTATGGTTAATCAAATAAATTTACTTAATGAAATTAAAATAATAATGAGATAGTTGTAATTAACAATTTGAATTTTTCCGCCAGAAGATCATGGGCATTTATATTCGCGCAATTCGTTAAAATACTTAGAAATGAATTATCTTTCAATTTTCGAATTTTTAAAAAAAAGTGCGGTGCAGACGTGAATTTAGCACTCCAAAAATAATTATTTAAAAAAATTTTTTACCTTCTCATCATAAATGAGAAAGTATTCATTTTGGTCGATTTTGACTTTTTTCTAAATACAGTGAATCTCCACGTTTTGAGACAAATCTTAACGAATCGCTTTAAAATTTAGTATACTCTTTCAACATGTAAAAACGAAGCCTGAGTTAGTTGAACAGACTAATCTGCCCAAAATTTTAAAAATTATTCAAAATTTGAATTTTCAAAAAATTCAATTTTTTTCAAATTTGAAATTTAATTAATTTTTTTTTTAATTTTCCCTTAAATTACTCCCAAAATTAAATTTTTTTCCGTCTAACACTTTTCAATGGAGGCTACAATAAAAATGTTACAAATTTTTTAAAATAAAAAAATACAAAAAATTGAATTTATAGTGGATGAAGCAATATCGAATAGAAGAAAATCTTCAAAATACAAATCGAATAAATATTATTTCTGACTTAGATACTTATTAGAATAACATCTGAGTAACATAAAATCAAAATCAACTCAAATTTTTTGCTTCCTCGTGGAGGAAGCTTTTCGTTTATAAAAATTTTCAAAATGGCTAAAACAAATTTTTCTCTATATAGAAACATGTTATATGAGATCCTGAGCAATTGTCGGAATGTATGTGTGTGTGTGTGTGTATGCATGTGTGGACCCACTTTTTGTGAACACGATATCTTTAACAGGTTTTAATGGATTTGAGTGAAATTTGGTAGGCTTATTTATCACATTAATATCTCAAAATTGACCAAAGGATTTTAAAAAATACCCCAGAAAAAAATTTTATCGTCTTTTTTCCAAAAAAAATTTTTTAATCGAAAAAATTTTTAAATAGTGAAATTTAAGGTGATATATGATAAAATCGTATTCCTTCGTCAAGACAAATCGATTGGCATATATAAAGCATAAGTTTGATTTAAATTTAAAGAATTAATGATAGTTAAGAAATCAAAAATTCTTATTTTAGCCATAAAATTTTGTGTATTTTAAAATTCAAGTGTATAGAAGAAATATTTTTATTCCTTTCATTAAATCGAATCGATTGATATATAAAGTATACATTTGATTTAAATTTAAAGAATTAATGAAAGTTAAAAAATCAAAAATTCATATTTTAGCTGAAAAATTTTATATTCTCAAATGTTTATATTATTATATTATTTATGTATGTTTATTTCAATGTTAATGCTTTCTTTACGAGGAAGCAAATTTTTTTGCTGATCGTAAAGAGGAAGCAAAATGTTCATGTAATGAACATCTGAATTTACACCTTCTTTTTAAGTCCAGCCATTTATTTCCACTTCTTAGCGTAAAAAGAATTTGTATTTTTTTCATTAAATTTTGATGATTGGAATCTTTTTAGCAAATTTAAATGAATATTTCTACTTCTTGGTTTTATAGGTCGCTCATTATGATTCTGAAATCAGTTTTTTAAAATTTAAATTGGCGGATCCAAACATTTTTGACGCGATATTTTTAGCATTTAGAATGGATAAGATTCGAAAAAATTATAAAAACTGAACAAAAATTATAAAAAAAATTTTTTTTTAATGCATTTAAATTTTTTATTTAAAATTTTTCGGTTCTTTTAGTACGCCATTTGATAGAGTCTCAAAGTACCTGTAAAAATTTAATTAATGGGTTAATGCAGGCCCTATACATTTCCTATTGTATGTTTCTAATTTTCGAGCGTGAAACGCGAAAGCCGTGATGATAATGTTATTCTTAAAGTCAAAGTACTTTAAGAAAATGAAATTAACTATAATAATCTTTGAATTCATTCCTTCATTCTGTCCATTCCTTCATTCCGTCCATTCATTCATTCCGTCCGGACCCCTGCTGGGTTTTCGGTGACAGAGAAAAAGAACAAGTTATGGAGAGAGAAAGATATATCTTTATTTTGCAAATGAGGGTTCACTTGACCTGCAATCTTTTAAAGAGGATTAATTAATAACTCTGAGGACCCAGGTAATAATTTCTTTCTGTCTTTATCACGTGAAAAAAAAACTATAAAGAAAGTCTAAAACTAAATAGGTAACGCATACCTTTCTTTCTTACACCAAGGAATATAACATAAGTACTTCTTCGTTTAACATTGCGTTTCTCTATCTAGACAATTCAAAATGGCATAAGAATATCTTTGTCTAAAATCTTAATCTTTTTCCTTTTTGTTTTGAAAATAAAAATAAATATATATATATATATATATGTGTGCATACCTGTATTAGAGTCCCTGAAAATTTTAATAAAAAAAATTTAAAAATTA